ATATATGGTCCGGTATTGCTGCGATATATTTAAGGTTCTTGATAAAATCAGCAACATTACCAGTCCTGAAATGTCATCTCAGCTTCAGTCACATTCCCACCACCGTAAAGTCGCTTTCCTGTGCCTTTTGTATAAAGACCTTCGTGGTAATTGTTCGTATGAGCTCTACGCGATGGTACTTTTTTTGAATTTAAGCGCAGCACTCAACTGGCGTCTAGATATCATTAATTTACATTTGAGCTGGCTAGATGTAGCCGTAAATTCTATGCTAACAATTTCTTTTCTCGCTTCAGTCATTTTCCCATCGCTGTAAGGTTGCCTCTCTGTGTCTCTTCACTATGGTGTCTAGACTCTTCGGATTTAAGCGGTTGAGCTGGCTAGATGTAACCGTAAATTCTATGATAACAGTTCCTTTTCTCGCGCTTCTCTCTTGTGGAACTCCGTTCCGGCTTTGCAGCCAACTGTAATCTGCAAAAATCTTAATGCAATGTCAATCGGCATCAACTTCCTTCCTGATTATTTTTCCTCTTCCACACCCTGTAACCCTTGTGTCTTAGTGGCTTTACGACCTTGCATGGGTGAACCCTGTTTTTTATATATATATATATATATATATATATATATATATATATATATATATAAGTAAAAGACAATAGGAAAACTGTATTATTAGCCTACGCGTTTCGTCCAATGTGGATTTTTCAAGGCAAAAACGAAATGAATTTATTGAAAACAAAGTAACTATTAACAACAAACAAAATGTCCTTAGCAACTAGAAAAATTTCTAAAACTCTACTGGATTCATATTGTCAACTTGACGTAATTTTCAGTTGACAATAGAATAGTGTTGCCTCTCTGTGTCATAAATACTCTTCATTATGGTGCCTAGATTCTTCGGGTTTAAGCGGAGTACTAGACTGGCGACGAGGTCCCACCAATTTATATTTGAACTGGCTAGATGTAACCGTAAACTCTATGCTAACAGTTTCTTTTCTCGCACTTCTCACTTGTGGAGGACTCTTCGGGCTTAAATGCTTTCCAGCCAACTTTAATCAGCAAAAAATTAAATGCAATGTCAATCGCTATCTACTTTTTTCCTGATCACTTTTCTATTGTTCTCGCTCCTTAATACTGTTTCTGTTTTTTTATTTTTTTCACCCAGTGACCCCTTGTGTCTTAGTGGCTTTACTGCGTTGATTGGGGTGAATTCGATTAAAAAATACAGACGCGAATCAATGTTTTGAAACGACAATGACTGGTACTACATTATCAATTCAGATTAAAATATCAAACGATTGTGCAAAGCTAAACATAGACTGTGAGCGATAGACTGGCATAACACGGCAAATTGCGATAAAACCAAAACATCAGTCCCTTCTGTTTGCCTCCAGATCCAGAGACGGATAAGCAATGCAATTGGCCCTGATCTGGCCTCTCGTCTGCAGCCGCTCTCTCACAGACGTACCGTCGCCTTTCTCTATCTTTTTTTTACAAATACTTTCATGGTAATTGCTCTGATGAGCTGCTTTCGCTGGTTCCCAGGCTTCATGAGTTCAAGCGCCCTACGAGGCTGGCATCCCGCTCCCACCCTTTCACTGTTGAAACTGTTAAATATAGCCGTCTCTTCTACTCCAATAGCTTCATATCTCGCACCTCTCGCCTGTGGAACTCCCTTTCCTTTTCCTGTTTCTCTGATAGCTATAAACTCCAACTATTCAAATGTAATGTCAATCGACATCTCCAGTTACCCTGATCTATCCACTATCCCTCTCCTCATCCTTTCTTCTATCACTCCTATCTGCTCTCGCTCCAAATCCTCTGTAACCCCTTGCGTTCTAGTAGCTTCCATCCTTGCTTGGGGTGAAATGCTTTAAAAAAAGAACTTGAAAACTCAAGTCACGTTCTTAGAAGGCCTCGTCAGATCGAAACTTCCATGTGGATGTCATGCATGACGCCAAACCCGTATCTAAGCTGTCAGCTGTATTCAAACGCTTTCTAAAATCAAGGGTTACAAAAGGTTTTGACCATGCAAAACTGAAGGGTTTTATAACAGAACCACATTGCTTGAGGAATAACAACAACAAAATGGATAGCACATTTAACTCGAAGAGAAAATAATGTCATAATCAAGATGCTGACATTCCACACTACTTCAAATAAAAGGTTAGGAAGGAAACTCCGAACAATAATGGAAAGAGCGATGGCTACTAGACTTGAAAATCATATTTTCATGAAAAATTGTTTTAATAGAAAGATTTTATAAATAATGTCAACTGAAATCAGTACTGATTGCCCGGTTAATGAATGCCAAATATTTGCTTACAGGGAAATGGCTAATATTACCGTTATGAATAATTAAGAGTGGCTTTCCCTTGTTTTGTTACTCTCCTCTGTGAGAGAGCTATTTCTGTTTACTGGGACTATAAAAGGACACTATACGCGAACCTTGTATTCTCAGTTGAATAAAGTTTTCTTAAAGTCTACACCTGTTTACTTTTGT